AGAAGAAGAAGAAGAAACATCAGAAAAAGCAATATGGTTTCACCACACCACTTCGTGGTGTGGTGAACCCATAATAAATAAATAAACCGTGCATATTTACTGTAAATGTGTCTGTTATCCACTGGCAGGTGATACTAGTTATGTCAACTACAATCAGCTTAAATCATATTTTGGTGTCAGGAGCACTTTAATGTGTACCTACCATGTGCAGCAATCAGTTGTTCCACTGTTGCCCATTGGTCAGTTTTGGACCAATGTTCCACAGTCTCTGCACTTTGTTCCCTCACACCTTCCAGTAAAGGGTCCATGTGTTCCTGTGTGGGATCAGACAAGGTTGGAAATACTGGAGTGGGAAGAAAGGATCTTGGCTCTCCTTATATAAGCTTGTCTCTGTCCCATGATAATAAGAATTTGTTTGTTTGTTTGTTTGTTTTGCATAACCGGTAAACTGCCTTTAGGCGTAACACACCAGTTTTGTACATGTACAAGCTGTGTAAGACCGGACTGTAAGGTTTGAACCACTCACACCGGAAAGGACCCCTTCTCTTCTCGATAAGTGCGGTGGGTTCTTTAACGTGTGTGGGGTGTGGCTCTCCCAAACTCGGGACCTCCATTTAACGTCCTATCTGAGGGACGTCCCTAACCAAAGCTAGGTACTCATTTCCACCTGAGTGAAGTAAGGAAAGTTGTGTAAAGTGCCTTTCCCAAGGGCACAAAATCAGTGACATGGGCAGGATTCAAACCCGTGACCTCTTGGGTGTGAGCCAAACCCGCTACCGACTGCGCCACATGACCCCACGACAAATGACATGTGACAAATCAATCATGATTCTTGAGAAAGACAAATAAAGTTGAAACCGGTCAAATGCCATCTCAGCACTGTCATTGTTCTAAAGCTACGAATGAAATCAGTCAGGATCAGTTATCAGTTCCAAATTTTTCAAATCAGCCAAGGCACAAGTCCAAGGCACCCCGTAATAGCCGGAAATGTTACAATATGAGCCATGAAGTCAACAGACAAGGCTGGTTTATAATCTAAATAATAGATTTTGAACTTAGTTTTAATGAAACAAATTGCATTGTTACATTGAAAAACTAGGAAGGAAAGGACTTTCTTCAACTGTTGGAGCCAAAATAAATTATGTCTTTCATTGAGTATTTTGCAACTGTTGATATAGAACAAAAAATTTTTTTCCGGCAAAAATGGACAGGGCAAATCCGAGAAACAACAAATGAAATTGGTGTGGTCTTACCTTGAGTGGTAACATGTCCATTGTTGCCAGGTAGGTGAGGAAGTGTAGATCAGACATGGCCTCCAGTAGCCGGTACCCGGGGAACTGCTGCATGTAGGCAGTCAGCTGACCAAAGTCCTGAGGACATCAGGTTAAACTTCAAGTCAACATGCATGGAACTGATATAACATCTGTGTCCATAATATCACCAGGGTCCATATTAATATCACCATCTTGAGAAACAGTGTGCTTAAAGATATTTTTACTGCAACATACCCTAGGTATGTACATTTGAGGTGTGCAGGAGTGCATGCCAAAAGTATGTTGCAGTAAAAATATCTTTAAGCACACTGTTTCTCAAGGTGGTGATATTATGGACCCTGGTGATATTATGGACACAGATGTTGTATTTTTAAACCAACTACATGTAGGTTTAAACAGGTACTGGTAGTCCCATAGCCTTTTTGAGCCCTGGATGGTATCATGTACACATGTATGTTGGGATAAACATATTAAAAACTGTGTAGATGTTAGGATAATTAATGTAAAAATTCTGTGATCCTTATTGGTGAATGATGAGAATTTTATACCTTTTGACATGTGTAAGTTACTTAAAGGTTAACATCACTATGCATATATTATGTAATGTAGAGGTCATTTGCATAATTAATGAGGACATGTCAAAATGAAGTATGACAAAGGAGAGGACTTTTACACTAAGAATATTGTCATTTGAATTTAGAAAACTATAAATTAAACTGGAGTATGCTAATTACGACCTTATTTCAATAGTCAATGAGACAAATAAAAAAACTGTGACAAAACTCATATACTTCATGGAGGTATGAGATCTCTGAATTCTTGTAAAATATGTACTAGTAGATGCCATACTTTGTACCCAGTACAATAAAGTCATTTTATTCACTGTGTCAGAACTCAAGAGCACAGTATTGGAAGGCAGAGCCCATCCCTCTCCTTCCACTGCCTTTTACCTCCCAAACTGAAGTCAGGTATCCATTTTTAGACATGGATTTACAAATGTAAGTCATGTAAAATGCCTTTCACAAGGGCACAAGATCAGTGACATGGCAAGATTCAAACAGATGGCCTCTAGGTTCTGGGCTTGACTTGATCACACTTGATACGACCACAGACCAACTGTCATCAAAGATGGTATCAAAAGTTAAGTAATATAGTAAAACGTTAAACTTTATTCCAACACACAGTTTACAGAGATCAAATTTTCAGCGACTGTCGCCTTCATCAGGATAATTGATGACCAATCACTTCACAACGTGATCTCGAGTTACGATTTACAAACACGTGACTTTATTCACACAAGACTTTACTGATACGTGACGTAAGCATCACTAAATAGAGATGGTGGACGATATAAACTCCCTGGCACTTTTGATCAATTGCTTATGTCACGTATCAGTTAAGTCTCGTGTGAATAAAGTCACGTGTTTGTAAACCGTAATTCTCGCGAGATCACGTGTTGAAGTGATTGGTCATTAATTATACCGATAAAGGTGACAGTGGTCGCTGAAAATTTGATCTCTGTAACCTGTGTGTTGGAATAAAGTTTAACATTTTACTATGATTACTACCAACACAGATGAACTTTCATGATAAGTTAAGTACTAGTTCTTAGCTTGTGAAGATAAAAGACAAACCTGTATGTCACCAATGTCTGCTCTGTTCTCTATAGGGAAGGGTTTGTCCATCCTGGTGTTGAAGGTGGACACAGGATCAACAGGGAAACCTGTAGTAACCTGAAATGTACATCAAGTCTTCATTCTTCAACATTTTATCATGTTTATTCATGATCATAAGGCCACACCAATTTAATTTGTTGTTTCTCAGATTCGCCCCATCCATTAAAAAAACTTTTTTAGGTTCGAAATCAACTGCAAAATAAAAGACATATTTTGGCTCTCTTCTCTTCCTAGTCCTCTTCTTCGTAGTTGTTAAAGTTTTTCAATGTAACAGTGCAACTTTGTTTCATTTAAAGTTCAAAATCTATTGTTTTCATTATAAACCTTGATACTTGATACTTGATGACCTGGATTCCAAGAACATAAGACAAAACAATGTACAGAGTCACAGACTTCACAATCATATAAAAATGACATTGAGAATCTACGCCACTAGACTTCTACACAATTTTTATCCTACACAGCCTGCCTGGTATGTTGACTTCATAGCTCATATTGTACCATTTCCATCTATCACGGGGTGCCTTGGCCTGTTTTTTTTTTAATTTCGCCCTGTCACTTCATATTTTTTCTTAAAAAATCTGAGAAGCAACAAATTAAATTGGTGTGGCATAATGAACAACAGTTTACTTACTTGTAATATCAAGTTTGTGTGGAATTAGGAGTTACTATTAAGTCTTACCTGAGTGTACTAGATAGAAGTAGAACTAGTCTCCAAGAGTAAGTTTACCTGTACAATTCATGTACAAATTGTAATCACAAGTTTTAAGCCCCCATCACACATTGAAAACCTCAGCCTGAACACCAACTACGTTGGCTGAATTTTGGGAACAGTCTGGCCTGATTCAGGCCATGCATACCTTTCAATACAAATCAAATACAATTTGAGTTAAAATTGAGTCAATTTTCACTACCAACCAACGTACTTCCAGACACCAGCCAACCATGGCCAACCCTCCCGTCCACACGAGAATGTTTTTAACATTTTAAACATTCACCTGACGCAGCCAAACGGTAGCCCACCACACCGAACACCAGCCAACCACAGCTAATCTTACTCCTGCCCTACTCCTAATCATATCAGGTTATGTGTGACTGAGACTTTTACCTGTACTACATTTTGTAGTGGGGAAGTTAGAACTTACCTGTAAACATTAGTCACTTTTTGTTACACTGCCCTAATTACACTCAACAACGAAATACCCTTTTTGGAAGCTTGAACACTGATTGGTTTTATTACTGACTTGGATGATCTTTCAGATTATATTCTGGTATATTTATTTTTAAGAGGTTCTTCTTTTCTGTCAACAATGTACAATACTCAAATACTGCTGCATGTGCAGACTTTTTTGTTGGAATCAAATCGTTTTTGTAGTGTCTTGATCGATCCTATCAGTGTTTATGTAAATACTATGTGTTTCACTAGTTCATTGATTGATTGTTGTATTCAACTTCTGTATGAAAACTCGTGCTTTGCTTGCTTGTATTACATATTGTCTGGTGGCGACATGAATATAAGTGTAACTTGAGTGTGTCGCCACCACGTCTTGTCATTGTATGTTTCAATAAATAAAATCTAAAAAAAAACTTACCTGTACTAGTAAATACTCCACTGGGAGTGGACGGGCCAGCAGTGTCACCAAGTTGCCATAGGAGTCCTTCTCCTATAGAGGAAACATCATGTAACACCACAATGTTGGATGACGCTTTTAGTACCATGATTTTTTCAGAGCATCATTTTTGAGTGGTCCTGTTCACCTTTTGGACAATGTCATTGTACAAAAAGTCTTTAAAACATACATGATGCATTATCTGTTCTTTCATCTCTACTATAACTGAAAGTTATATTGTAGTAGCTGATTATATTACATCAAACAACCTGTTACACCTAACCTTTGCACATCTACATGACATGTACATTTTGTACATGTGAAATGTAACTGCAGGCATTGTTTAATAAAAGCTATCTAATATTAATGCCCCAACTGTGCTTGGTGGCAGCAAGGTTCACTCTACAATAGTTCTGGGAAAATTTTGAACACCTCAATGCTTGGTTGATAACGCTGGTACTTGAAATCATTACTATTTTGATTTTTTTTCTGAGCTGGTATTGGTACTTAGTAGTAGGTACATCCACCATTAGTCATTTTGTACATCATGCAAAGTCTGGACATTTTTCGCCTATCTTCCATTGACACCCTCTGTATAGGTTTGTTTTTATTTCCGTGAGTCCCCCAGCGTACAAAATACCTGGTTGCCCAGTTGCCCCGGGCAACCAAATTTTACTTGGTAAAACCTATTTTTGAACCAAGGTAGCCCAGTGTGCTACCTGAATTTTAAGAATGCCCCAACCCCCCAAAAAACCATGCCCACTTGACTTGCACCACTGTATCTGGCAGATGCTTTTTAATTTTAGGTATTAATGGCTATTACTAGCATCAGTTAACTAAAGGCTGTTAGAAATATTGTCAAAGGCTTATGTATGTAACATTACTTAATTTGAGGAAAGTAGTAACTTATAGGTGGGGCAACCTTAAATTCTGAGGGTAACCTAATTTTTGCCGTAGGTTGCCCACTGGGCAACCTGGTTCAAAAAAGTATTTTGTACACTGGTGACTGTAGACTCCTTTCATAGTTGTTGGTGCAGAATCTTGTTAAAACTGACTGTCGTGTTTGTGTCGTGTTCGGATGTCTATCAGTACTTCGCGTAGATGTCAAATTCAAGTACGATAGGACACGTATCTGAGGGCTGACTCCATCTTTATTGTTTACTGTTCTAGTGTGGTACGCAGAGTGATCTGAATAAAACTGCACTGTGCTATCACAAAGTAGTGCGGTGTGGGCAAGGCCCCTATGGTGAAATAATTATGCCTGATGAGATCATGTAACACTGACCTTGTAGAACACATCAGGCACATACTGTTCTGGTGTGGACTCCTTGATGTAGCCCAGCTCAGGGGCGTCCTTAGTGGGCACCAGACAGTCATCCCTCACCAGGGCCATGCACTGGTTAGACACCTGGTAACCCTCGAAGTGGATCTGATGACTTTCATCACCTGCAGTAGTGAAAAAATTAAGAAACATATTGTCAGGCAGTTAAAAGATATTTGGTGTCACACATACATAGTGCTGTGTACCTAAACCCACATTTAGGTTCAGGTCCGGATTCAAGTCCAGAGGTTTAGGTTCAGTTCTGGACTTGTAAGTCCGGACCTAAACCCATGGCATATACAAAATTGCATGTTAGCAACCTTGCAATGTTGTTTGGGCAAAACGTTGGCCATGCACATAACATGGAGGCTGACACTTGAAGATGCCCGATGGCAATGTTTTCTTCATTTTGCAGCGAAGATTTTGCTATCTACGGAAGGTTTTAGGTGGTTTGGAAAGAAAAAGGGTAATACTATGTGAAAAATGTTTTTGGTAATAAGTCCGGACTCGGTTCTTGACTTTTAGGGTTTTTTTTACTTGAACCTAAACATTCTTACATCTTCGGATCCAAGTCCAGTGAACCGGTACACAGCACTACACATACAGGTAGCTGAATACGTACTCTCAAGTACTGCCAAAGTCTAGGAGTAGGTTGTGGCAAGTCAGCTGTGGTTGGTTGGTGTTCAGTAAGGTCAGCTAGTATTTGCCTGTGCCAGACGAATGTTTCAAAATGTTTCAAACATTCGAGGGTGGACGAGAGGTTTAAAATATACCATGGTTGGGTTTGGTTGGCAGTCAAATTTGACTTAAATTTGATTTGATTCTTATTGAAAGGTAGGCATGGCCTACGTTGTATATATCGGTCTGCTCCCAACCTACTGCCAACATTGGTTGGTTTGTGTTTGGAGGAAGGTTCTGAATGTGTGACGGGGGCTTTAGGTTAGAAGATATTTAGTGTCTTCCTTTACAGGACACTGGTATACATTATACATGTAGCAGTTTTGAGGCTCATTGTGCCTCTAGTGTGTAGGGATACTATGTATTCTAGCATTACTACATGAAGTGTTTCCCAAATGTGGCAGTATGTTGCCAATTCTTCATTCTGCCTGTTTCTGCATGACCCCTACTGATACAGAGTAAGTGTGAAGGGGCCTTTAGGAAGGTGGCAAAATACAGTTGGAAGTTCATGGAACAGACAGCACATGTCAAAGGAAACTTGCACAAAACGGTTAGACTTACCTGAAGCCACCACAGTGACAAATTTGGAGCCAAAAGTCCCGTCAGGAGAGAGTTTGGTACAGTTTGGATGTTGGTTCTGAAACTCTCCTGCCATGATACACTCTTCTGCACTCAGGAACACTGAATCCTGTCAACAGTACATCATATGTTTTAGTAATAAGGCCACACCGACTTAATTTTATGGATGACAATGTCATCCTCTGAAGACTCCTAAACTAGTGCGCAAGAGTGAATAAAAAAATTCCGACCAAACCACAGGGAAGGTGGTATTGTGAATTTGCAGTGCATAGCAAGGTATACGACAAGCTGGCTTTTTGTGGAATTTATGAATTTTTTTTTTTAGCACTGTACCTGTACCTATGTACCGAGTTCTTGAGTCAGCTGCAGGGAGCTTTGGTAGCCTAGATGCCATCCTCCAGAGTTACCACCGACTCCGTATTGACAATAGCTACACTGTACCATGGACTACCCCGCCCCAGAGCCAGGCCAGAGCCTCGGAGGACGTCATCTTTTTTGTTTTTTGAGAACAGACGAAAAGTTTTATTCTGTTCTTCTTTTGTGTACTATGTTCATTAGAAACAGAACAGCTTTTTGCTATGAATAGACATGGTAGAAAGGAAACAGTTTACAAAGCAATAGTACAAACCGCGTTCCTGAAATTCTTGACAGTTCCTTTGCCAGAGTCATCAGCCACCAAGTCAGTAAAAATCCATCCAACCTGTAAAGTGGAAAATTTATTGGTTACATCACTAATTCTGAAGTGGGCATGGACAACAAAATCAAAAAAATCATAGTAACATTTTTATTTGTTTTGATTGTTTTGATGACACTTAGGCCACAACAATTTAATTTGTTGTTTCTCAGATTTTTTCAGAAAAAATATTAAGTGACAGTGCAAAAAAAAAACACAGGCACCCCAAGATAGTCGGAAATGTTACGATATGAGCCATGAAGTGAACATACCAGGCTGGTTTATAATCAAAACAATAGGTTTTGAACTTTTAATGAAACAAAGTTGCATTGTTACATTGAAAAACTTTAATAACTAGGAAGAAAAGGACTTTCTTCAACTGTTGGGGCCAAAATATGTCTTTCATTGAGCATTTTGCAGTTGATTCAGAACCTCAAATCTTTTTTTTTTTGGCAAATCAGAGGACAATGGACACTGCTAATCCGAGAAACAACAAATTAAATTGGTGTGGCCTTAAGCTTTTAAAATGAACATCCATTGTATACTACAGTATACAGATCTTGAATAACTTCCCATCAGCACTATCCTGGGTACCATCCTTGTTAATATTGTTTATGTCCATTCTGATTAGAGCTGTGTACCTAAACAAATTTTGTGCACGGGTTTAGATACAGGCCTGTACCTAAACAATACAAAAATGTATGTTCTTCTAAACTTCTTCAATAACAACACAAACATCATTAATAAACTTGACAGTTGAGGGTAGGTTTTTGTTTATGGCAAATTCTTACACAAAACATGGGCAACAAAAGAAGTTACTTTTAGCCTTGTGCCACTATGGTGGGAGATGGGAGACCTGCTAGTTCACAAATAAACATAACGTTATACAGATACAGTACCTGGTATCTAGTGTTTACTAGGTATTTTGGGCCTTTACCTACATGTAATCAATTTTTGTGGTACAGTACAATGACAGGTACACAGCCCTAGCTCTGGCTAGTACATTTTGTACCGGGAGTGACACAGAATACACTGTGTTTAATTCTCTATGTAAACATCTAGTATCTTTTCTTGCCTGTTGTAAGAACATCCGGTAATAATTTCATCAGGCTGGTAAACAAATGAATAGCAAAGTTCTTTGATCACAACCATTTACTTTTCACGAGCTGACGTTTCGATGACCGTCTGTCATCTTCATCAGGGCAATTCTGACTGGTTTACTGTGCACTGACACTAGATGTTACTTGGTGCATAGTGCACTAAAGGTGTTACATAGTTCACAGCGCACTTAACTAAGTTAGTTTTTACATTAAGAAACTAGCTTAAGTGCACTGTGAACTATGTAACACCTTTATTGCACTATGCACCAAGTAACATCTACATGTAGCTTCAAAGATCAAAGAACTTTGCTATTCATCTGTTGTGAGAACAGATCTAGAAGCAGACAGTGAAAACTGACCTTCCTGAGTCCCAGCTTCCTGGCAATGTCATCTACTACCTCAGCATTCCTGTCCTCCAGGAGCTGCAGACTGTTCGCTGTTCCAACCTGAGGAAACATACAGACAGTTAGGGAGGTCTACATAATACTACATAGATTACATGTAATCTATGGGGTCGCTGGAAGACAGACGTAGAATGTCCAGACTGAATGTGCATGATGAACAAAATGACTAATAAACTGGTGGACGTACCAACCACTTGATACCAGCCCAAAAAAGAACGAGAAACAGTCATGCCTTCAAATATCAGAGTTATCAACCAAGAATTGAGGTGTCCAAAAACTCATATTTCCCCAGAACTATCGTAGACTGGAACTCGTTGCCACCAAGCACAGTTGGGGCAACATCACTAGAAAGCTTTCAACAAGAACTGAAATTACATGACATTGTGCAAAGATTGAGTGTAACAAGTCGTTTGGTGTGATATAGCTAGCTGCCGCCGCGCCGCGTGCCTGCAAAGCTGGTGTGTTACGCCAAAAAGGCGGTAATACCGGCTATACTGATACAGATAATAGATAATGCTACATATTTCCCACTTTTTACATACACACAAGCTCTACTAACAAACTTTATGTTTGTCAAAAAAAAACTATGACTATGATAATAATATCAGGCGGTTCTTATACCATGAGGGAATGTTCTGCGGCTTCCCCATGGTATGGTTCCACCGAAAGATTTCAATGGAGGGTCGTAGGGCCTCTGCCACTGGCATGCTCAGGGTATCCCTTAGCAGGTTAGCCGAGCTTCTATGGAGGGTGCCGGCTATGTCGTAAAGCACCGGGATGAGCTCCGTGAACGTGTGGGCCCATTTGGAGGCGTCTTTCAGGTCTGCTTCGGCGCCGCCCACAGGCGGGTAGTCGCCGTAGAGCCCCATGGACTCTCTCATATATTTAACAGGGCCTTTGGTCGTCATGACCCATGGGTACCCTCTTGGTGTTGAAGGTACTTCCATGTGCTTCACCCCACTGGCGTCTTTGAGGTATAGTGCGACAGCCATGGGGAGCTCCTGAGAGTCGAGGGTGCGGTGGGCTTGCTCCGTCCACCCTGGGATGTTATGGAGGAGCGCTACCCTCGTCCAGGGCCACAGCTCGGCCATTTTCCGTCCCTCTGCCAGCAGTGCGGTCAGTATGTCTGCCACAGCTCTTGCCGGTTTCTTCTTCCTGCATCTGCCTCCCCCTGCGAGGTTGATCTCATGGATCACAATCCTTCCTGCTGTCGGGACACAGAGCCAGCCCTTTGCCTTCCACGCACCTACACTGACTTCGGGCCGGTGTCCCCGGCCCATTGGTCATCCTTGTCGTGTGGGTCTACTGACCGAGTCAGTTCTCCCCTCGCGATGTCTCTGGCGATTAGTCAGCCTGGCGCCGTTTTGCTACGAACTTGTCGGCGGTGAAGTGTTCCACCACCGCGATCTCCAGTATCGCCACCCCTCTAGTGGTGCGCACAACGACGTCCGCCCTTTTGTTGAGGTGGGGGTAGGGCTTCTTCCTCTCCACTTGGAAGCCCTTGGCCTTGCAGGCCTTTGCCAAGCTATTGCAGACAGCGAGCATGGTGGCGTTTGATTTGGAGCGTGTTCGTAGCAATGCAGCCTGCTGCATAGTGGGTTGACGTTGGTTTGTGCATTATGCCAGACTCAGCTGCGGACGGGTTGCAGACCGAAGCCGTTACCTTGAAGGTGGCCTGGTGTATGGGAGTACTCCCTTCTGCCCCACGACCACACGTCCCTCAGTGTTGTCGGGTTGATGAGCTTCCTGATTGCTACATACCCTTCAAGCGTGTCTGCAATCAGCGGGGCGGCCGGGGCATGTTCCCTTATATATTCCCTCATCAGGTGTCTCTGACTCATCCTTGTCATGTATGACCGGAGCCTTGTCAGAGTCTGGAAGGCATTGGTCACTTTGCCCTTTTGTGACCTTGTTGCCCCGCCTTCCGTGAGGACATACCCGTCTCCCTCCTTGTACATGCCTATGTCAATGTTGCACATTGCCCCCAGCATGTGCGATAGCCAAGGTTGTTCTCCCTTGGTGGCTCTCCCCTCCTTCTTCACCAGGTGTCCCCCTTTCATGCTTGACATCTTGAGTCCTAGCACTTTGCTACCCGGCTCCTTCTCCAGACCACTGCCGAGGTAGTCGGCGAGTTGTGCCTTTAGGATTTCCCTGGTGTAGTTTGGGAGGGGAGGGGTCGGTCCCTTGCTGGTAGAAGGGGTGCCTAGTAGGCGAGCACATCTGTCCACCAGTGCTCTTCTGTACGTGGAGTGGATGGACGGTAGGCCTAGCCCTAGTCTGTGACGGGGAAGGTAGAGGAAGCCATCCGACATTCTCAATGGTACGCCTGCCCACGATTTGACTGCTTCCTTTAGGAGTTTGTCAACTTTCTCCAACTCCTTCACACGCACATTGACCACCCTCAGAGGGTAGATCAGCCTTGGCACTACATACGTCGTCACATAATCCAACTTTTGTGGGAATATCAACCCGTACAGCTGTTCTCCAGGCTGGAGCGGTCTCAGACCGGCCTCCAGGGTCTGGTCAAGCGGGGTCTTTGGCGCAAGCCACCCTAACACTCGTAGTTCGGCATAGTTGCGAGGCCTGTTAACAGTCGTGCCCAGGTATGTTACCGGGCGCTCGTCATCTGGGCTGGCACACCGGATGTTTTTGCCCCCGATTTGCACTGGTGGCGATGGCGTTAGCGGTGTCAGCTCCCGCCCGAACTTATACGCCATCAGGACAATCTTGTCGGGGCTTAGGGTGAGGTTCAAGGCCTTGAACCTTTCCTCCACCCATCCGGCCATCTCCTCGATGCCAGCCCGTGAGCCGCTCGTTAGCCCTACGTCATCGGCGAAATCTAGGCGGGCCAGCCTAACTTGGCTCCCTCGTAACACTATCCCGTGCCTCGTCATTGGGAATTGGGGGGTCCCCTGGAGGGCAATGTTGAGGAGGAGGGCGAAGACTATTGGCGCCAGTGGGTCGCCCAGCTGAGGCAGGCCCACCATGCGGTCCATCTCTTCTTCATACGCTGCCTCTCCCTTCGCTTCGCGGAGAAGGATCTTGCCCCTTCGTGCCCTCTCTACTATTACCTTCACCGTGTTAGTGGCTAGGGCTTCGTGTCGTATCGAGCCAAATGCGTTTGATATGTCCACATAGATTTTGCCTTTCCGGTCTCTTGCTCTTACAACGCCGCCTCGAGCGTGTACAGCAGGGTGGATATTTCCCCCCCAGGCCTGAACGCCTGTTGCCACGGGGATAGCATGTTTTGGGTCATAAGCCAGCGTATCCAGTACTTTTGCACTATGTGTGCGAATACTTTCCACTCAGCCTCTTATAGTTCGACCGGGCGCCAGCTCGAAAGGAGATCGGCCGGTTTCTCTGTCGACTTTAGCAGGAGTGTAATCTCAGAGTCACTGAACCCGACAGGGATGTCGCCCGTGCTGAGGACCTTCTTATAGAGGTCGCTTAAAGCCTGGAACATTGACTTTCAGGAGGTCTTTGTCGGATATTTTAGTCAGCCGGGCGCCGTGCCCTTCTTGGCCCTCTCTCAGACCACCTCCTCAACCATGTCCGCATCTACTATGAGATCGGCCTGTTGGGCTTTCTGGGGGTTCGGGAGGTCCTTCACCTCCGCAACCATGTCCTTCAGCCTCTCCTTCCGCCTGGGCGTACTGACCGGTGGGACGTTGTATTTTCGCCGGTACTTCTCCCTTCGGGTTTTCGGTGTACCCAGCAGGGTAATCTCCGAATCCACTCTCGTACTAAGCCTGGCCACCGTCTCTGCCCTACTTGTGGCATATTGCAGGGAGACCCTCTCGTTCGTGGCCCTCTGTAGGCGGCGCAGCGTTCGGACTTGCCTGCGTTGGAGGACTCTGAGGAGCTTGTGCGTTTTAGTCGAGTCGAGCCGCTGAGCGGGATCCTTTCTCTTTGCCAGTATCTGTTTCAGCTTTGTCTTTTCTGCTTTGCTCATAGTTGATCCTTTCTTACAACATATCATCAACTTGCGTAACTGGCTACATTTTACAGTAATTAGAATGTAATAATTACATTCTAATTACAGTAAAATGTATCTAGGATGAGCACCCAGGGCACCAAGAAAAAGTGGTCTTCTTAGGCAAGTGGTCTTCTTAAAAGAATACCAAGGAGGTTCCTTCAAAAGCGTGGTGACAAAATGTCCAACCGTTTTACAATAGACTGTCCCACTGATCCAATGTGGCTTGATAGGAGGCAATATCTCATAGGAGCCATTAACTCAAAGTGACCCGGCCAGTGCTGTTTTACATTGTGCAAAGACTGTCATGCTGTTGAAATCAATAGCAAATGGGCTGATTTCATCAAGAGTTCCTGCTAATTATCATCAAAAATGTATTCTGATGCAGTTGTCATAAGCAGAGATTGGGCCATGTATGGTCCCAAATAGTGCCGGCTGCTGACATGTTGGACAGCTTAGGCAACTTACAGGGAAAATCAGGACTGAGAAAAGCAGTCATTATGGCCAGATAGCCGGCTTATAGAGGTGGTCACTTGGGATAAGTTTGACTGTAATGTCATTTATATCTCCCATTTGCCATGCTTGCCGTGACTTATGGGGCCAAAAATGTACTCCTTATGTAGCTAGATTTAGGGGTATTTCAAATGCTTCAAGTATGAAAATAACTAATGACAAAAATGTGCTAAGAAATGGCAGTAAATACCGAAATCAGACAGATAGTTTTTTTTTTGCCACCCTGAAATATACATTGCCATTGGATGCTTTTAAACTACCAGCAGGTATTGTACAACTGGATTTAGGGTTGCTATAAAGTTCATTATTTCTTTGTCCCATTACCAACCTGAGGAGGTTCATAGATTGCTGCCACAGTGGCCCTGATCCCCAGGGGCACGTCTTTGTGGTGCTCATATTTCCCATATAAGAACCCCATCCGCTGGTTCCCTGTCTTCCTCCAGTAGTCCAGGAAACGGTCCACCAGGCTGTGGTTTTCAAACATGATGTTGTCCACATGACGATATTTCTGCAAGACATAGACAGTTTGTTACCTAAGGTACATGTACTGACTGACTGACTTTAGCAGGATGTCTCATATAAGGTCATATTCGCGTATATAAGGTTAACATCCCGTCTGTAGTTTCCAATTGTTATGTCGGAAAAGATGTCTGCAACAGGCAAAATCCATGCAACATTGACCAAAAATCTAACGAAAACCGTGAAAATCAGGGTTTGCACAGGAGCAGTACATTCTGCTGACATGCTTGTTGTACCCTACCTACATTGTAGGTCAGTGCCTTAGCAGTGGTCAATGGACCCATCCGACTTTCATGGATCGCATAAACTGCTTACATCACAGGGGGGACATTTCGAATAGAAACTTCGTCACAGGGGGGACATTTCGAATAGAAACTTCGTCACAGGGGGGACATTTCGAATAGAAACTACGTCACAGGGGGGACATTTCGAAAGTTTTTTTTCACAGATCACATAAACTGCATACGTGACAGAACAAAATAACCTTAACTTGTTGTACAGAATACCACCATACAAAGTTGGTGCCTGTTTTCCTGTCATTTCCGCAAAAATTACCGTGAAAATAGACACTTACCTAGTACTTTTAGTAAAAAAATAATCTGCCAGGGGGACACCGCGAGCGCAAGCCACGTTCAACTTCAGCGTTCTAGAACGACGTTCTTTTGAAATGTCCCCCGTGACGTAAGCAGTTTATACGATCCGTGAAAGTCGAATGGGTCTATTGGCTTTGCACTGAGCAATCAACAGTTAGAAAAATGAAAACCTTCCCTGGTCCTTACCTGTCTGTTGAGAGTGACGGCACTAGGTTGACATTTAGTACAGATCCCTCCCGGCCAGGGGGGGTGCTCCGTGCAGCCTGGCCGAATCTTCACACTCATGTTCTCAAGAGCAACAAACTTTCCCCTGACAGGAAAAACATGAACGTCATTGTGAATGTTGGAATAGTTTAACCAAAAATAATTGTCAAGTATGAGACTTCCAGGTTGTTTTGTCTTTAGCTTTAGTTTGTTGTGTCTCTGCATGAATGCCGAAGAACACAATCATGTACAAAACCATGTTTTGTACATTTATAAAGAAGAAACACGACTAAGGAAAGAAATGAAATAAAAAGAATGTACTTGTTCCTTATGTAACACAGTTAAATTCTAAGCTACATTACCGTCCTGGCTATAGATAACCTAGTGCACCATCACTGTGTGGTCAGAATTTCATTAGAAAAGGGTCAGATAATTATTGTCAGCAGTTGGTTTGAAATTCATCAGAGTTAATCCCTAACTATTCATTGTCAGAGTTAATGTGATGTGATGGGTTAGGTTTAAACTTTGTTTTGTGTGCCCAAAAGACAATAATATGACAATATGTTATGATCTAGTGAAATTCGGGCAAGATCAATTTTTTTTTTTTGCCATGGAGGCTTTCTGCACGAGGTAAATTTATACTCCTCCCACAGTCCCACTATCCTGTGATGTGACCTGACATATGAATGCTCCGTCACTTCACAAATCTCACCAGTGAGTAAAGCTGACTATTATGTGTTAATACTGGTAAGGAACAGGACAACAAGTGGATAGAAGCAGGAAAATAACCGGTGAGAAACGTGACAGTAATGCTGATGATGGTAAAACTATATATATTAACTAGGACGGTAGTGTTAATGATGAAGATTTGAATAAAAAGTAAGCTCCTGTGTAGGCTTTTTTTTTCAATGGTGTCGCTCAATGCAAGGCCATTTTGGCCACTTCTAGGCATAGACCTACAGGTATAGAACTGTAAACAGCAACTCTTCTCCCTGAGTCAGAAACATCATGATTGAGACCAACCCAATTTCTCACAAGTAGTGAGGACTAACTGACCCAGTAGGAGAAGCAGGGGTTACGTGGCTGGTCGGGAAGGCTTCCAACTTCCACATGAATTTTGATGCTTCATTAAACATGTTGTTTTGCCAGAGAAGATTATGCTGCTAGAGAAGGTTATAGCTTTGATATTAGATAATTTATCAGGATACATGTATCTATCAGTTGCAGACGCGACTGCAAAAGGTTATTCCGTGCTGGGTATAACGTTCTCTGGCAAAACGACACATATAATGCAGAATCGAAACTGCCACCCGCTCAGAAGCCTTCACAGGAGACTAATAAAAAGAATGTGTATCTTATGTCATACCTGGGACGCGATTACATTCGATACGGGTGTTCTGGCCCGTGTGATAACTAGTGGTACGGCGTGCACCGCTTTCGAAAATTCGAGTACAAAATTCGGACGTTGGAATTGATGTTGTTGCATTTTTTTGGTTTAGGAACACCAAATTTTTGCTCATTTTGCATTGAAAGGTGTGTTTTCTTGGGTGGGTATGACATAAATAAAATACAACACAGTGTATTCCGCATCACCCTCGGTCCCAGCCCTCCCGCGGATCGGATCTCTCCCAGGCCTTCGGGCGATCCGATGTGTGGTCAGGCTGGTACCTCGGGCGATACGGAATACCCCGTGCTACACTACTGTATATTCTATATGTAAATAGGGAAGATGGGACATGGGCTCAAGAGATAATGATACAGAACTAAAAAATGTACATACTTGTCTACTCCTCCCATCAGTTTCTTGAGATGAGCGTGGAAAGACATGTGCTTGATCTCAGACTTCTGAAGATACTCCTCATCGTAGGGCTGTGGAACACAGCAGCTATCAGATACATATGCAAAATTCCTTCTTACCTTTCATATATTAATAATAATACATGTATTACAGCATGTATCTTGAGGGAAACTAATTCATAACACAGGCCTCAAAATCTTCTCTTTTTTTGCATACTGTCATCAGTAGGTAACATTGAAAATACATCATATATTTAAGACCATATTTTGTGGTTTCCATACTTGGGCAAAAATTAAGGTAGTGAGGGAAATGAAAAAAAAAAAAAACAGGCATCATGGGATAGACCAACAAGCTACAAGTCATCTCATTGGTCATACTTAGAGTCACCAGTAACACAATAACTTTAACTCACCTCCAGGGACGTACAGTGAACACATTTTCCTTTGGGTCCATGATGACATCTGAAAGTAGATCAGTTATTTTCTTAAGGATTACTGACCCAAGGTGGTTATGGTGACATAAAACCTGGCCAGTGTCCTATAACCACCAAATAAACCAAATATCTAGACTGAGCATTAATATTGCAAACAAGATGTTTTGTGAGATTTCTCCAAGAAGAGGTTCAAGTCAGGATTTTGTTCATTTCATTCAGAGGGACACGTTGATAAAGCTTCAATCATTCAACAAAAATTCTCACAATTTCTAGCACAGTTACCTACTCTTAGACTGAGACTGCTTGGAAAATACATCAGTATTAGTTTATGAGGTGGTTTAATGCATATATAGGTCACTAGCCATGTGTTATGCCAAGAAAGAAAGCTGGTTATTAACATTATTATGATACATATTAAATGTGTCATAACAACAGCCAGTTTAAACTGACAAAGTGAAGAGACTTGAGATATCCCTATTATTATGGGGATATCTACATGTACATGTATGCCTTTAGCTAGTACTAGTAGTAGCATCAACGGTGTGGGAAAAGCTACAGGAAAATGCATTTTCAATTTGTATGGAATTACACACAGTGCATTCTAGCGCTTTCAAATAGTTTCCCATTTTTGTCAAGCTAATTGTGGGTCCAAATAAAGTCAAGTATCAAAGGAAAAATGCCCACAGCTGCTCGTCTCTCTCCCTGGCGATCCGGCCGTCCTGTTTGGATAAGAAGACGTCCACTTCATCTTCCTCCACATCGTTCATGAGGACGTCCTGAGGTCCAGCCGAGTCAGTCGTGTCCAGTCCTGCTGAGGACGGCACCAGGTACAGCATGTCCCCATGTCTACAGGAAACATAAACCAATTAGTGTTACATCCAGGAGCAATGGAGGTATTGTTTTTGGTATGTCTGCATATTTGTGTGTGTGTGTGAGAGAAAAAGAAGAAGAAGAAACAGAGCAAAAACAATATGTTTTCATTCGGTAAACATAATGATACTATAGAGATCCTACAATACCTGATGTTGGTGGTATGCAGTGTTTTCCTGCTGCCAGGTTTCAGCTCCCCTGACCGGTCCCTGTTCTGGTACAGTTTCCATGTGTCATGTCCCAGGGACAGCTCCTCTCCAACCTGAGGAAATAGTGGTACAAAATGTTGTGGTACTTGTGTGTGATTTTCACTAAACTTTGAAACAAACACTTGTCACTAAAAATACTAGTGATATGGAAACAATGCAATCAGAGATAGCAGGCCTCACCCCCAGACAAATCAAAACAATTCCTTTGACTAAAGAAAGCATGGAAACAAGGCACAAGTCTGTGCCGGTGACAGATCAACCTGGCGGGACCTGTGCATGACTGTGGCCGCTATGCATCAGACCATTATGCCCGCAGATGATTGAAAAAAAAATTCCAGATAAGGAAATCTGTCTGATATTGACATTTGTACTGTAACAGTAAATTCTTAGCACATTTTCATCATTATTTCAAGTGTTTAAATATGAGGAGTCTCTTTATTTTTGTTCCCACCAATAAATAGCTATAGCTAGAATCAGCCTGGTATGATACCAAATTTGGTTTAAACAAGCAACCTTTTTTCTGTCAGCTGCAGGCACATCGCATGTTTATCTCACAGATATCGATCAGCATTACTTACTAGTTACAACATCAAAAAATCCCAGAAAATTGACTTTGAAAATCCAGTTTTACTGCCCTGAAATTACTTTAGTTAGGCCACACCGCCTTAATTTTATGGATGACATCCGCGCGCACATTGATTTTCGCCTGTTGTAAAAAAAAAAAAAAAGATCACGTACATCGTGGCTCTGGCCTGGCCCTAGGCCTGGGTAGTCCATGGTAGTTGGCAACAATACAGAGCCGGGCACCCAGGCTACCGAAGCTCCACGACTCAAGAACTAAGTATATACGTACCAATTATAATTATTCATAAATTCCGCCAAAAAGCCAGCATGTGCCAGCTTGTCGTATACGTCGCTAAGTACTGCCGCAAATTCACAATACCAGCTTTACATTCCTGTGGTTTAGTAGCATTTTTATTTTTGGCCAGAATTTTTTTTTTCATTCGCCCGCGCGCACTACTTTGGGTTCTTCAGAGGATGTCATCCATAAAATTAAGTCCGTGTGGCCTTACATAAGAAAATGGAGCATGTACCTTCTGTAAGAACTTGGGAATTGTCTCGGTGCTGCTCACAGATATTCTTGTAGTCCCAGAGGGTGACTGTACCCGCACAATCTGGAACATTCAAACACAGACATATTTCTACAGTCTGTAAAGAAAGAAATGGGATTGGGACAACAAAGGTCAAGGTCAATTATGGGTAATCTAGCGGCTTTGTACAGTACTGCAGTGGTGTAGTGGGGTCGGCAATGACAGAGTGTTTGAATTCCTACGGTACTACCAACATACCAAATATCATAACTTATGTTCTGTTAAACACAAATTTGTGGAAGCACAGATACACAGACACACACACACACAGACACACACACACAGACACACAAACATGCATACCGGTAGGATCACACAGACACACAAACACACATAGGATCACACAGACACACACACACACACACAAAGTTTGAAACACACACACAGACACACGTAGGATCACACAGACACACACACACACACACACATGATCACACACACACACACAGGATCACACACACACACACACACACACAGACACACAAAGGATCACACACACACACACAGGATCACACACATACACACAGACACACAAACACACACAGGATCACACAGACACACACAGGATCACACACAGGATCACACACACAGGATCACACAAACACACACAGGATCACACAGACACACACTGGATAACACATACACACACACACACACACACACACACACACACAGGATCACACACAGGATCACACAGACACACACAGGATCACACACACAAACACACACAGGATCACACACACAGA